ACGACGCCCGCCCTCGACCTCGAGCTCACGTACTTTGGCATTCCGGGTCGCGCCGAGTTTATTCGCCTCCTCCTCACGCACGGCAAGATCAACTTCAAGGACACGCGCTATTCGTTCCCCGACTACTTTGCCAAGAAGGGCGAGCTCAACCTGCCGTTCAACCAGGTCCCGACGCTCCAGGTCAACGGCGCGACCACGTACGGTCAGTCGCTCGCCATCGCGCGTTACGCCGCCAAGCTCGCGGGTCTCTACCCGGCCGACCCGCTCGCGGCCCTCGAGGCCGATGCGGCTGTCGACGCGATCGTCGAGCTCTTCAACGCCGTCGTCGACGCCGTGTACAAGACGCAGGGCGACGAGGCGCAGGCGGCCAAGTTTGAGACCATCAACAACGAGACCTTCCCGCGCATGCTGCGTCAGCTCGAGGCGCGCGTCGCCGGTCCCTTCTTCACGGGTGCCGACATGACGTTTGCGGACGTCTACCTCTTGGACTTTGCGGTCCACACGCTCTCGAGCGACAAGATCACGGTGCGCCTCGCTGAGTATCCCAAGCTCCAGACGATTGTCGACCGTGTGCGCGCGACGCCGCAGATCCACGCGTACTTGACCAAGTAGAAACCGAACCAGGTTGGACACCGACTGTAGTTGTTCCACTGACACCCATTTATCTATCGTTTATCGCTTCATTTTGTTGTAAGCTTCGCAAGCGTGAGCTCATGGTCGTAACGAATTACATCAATATTGGGGCGAGTATCAGGAAGGTACTCCTCATAAATGTGTGGACTATCGAGAGAAGTTGTATATAGAAACTACATGTATGACCCCAAACATATTGTCATGTAAACAAAGCCGCTTTGGGGGCGCCGGGTTTGACTTCGGGAAAAAGCCGTGTAACGACAAGGTCCAGCAGCGAGAGCAAAAGGCTCTTGACGAGGAGTTCATGCTGCAGAAACTCAAAAACCTACAAACTGATCAACGCCACGCATGAAATGCTCGCGACAATACCTTGAGGCTCCCATTACGCGCCGCGGGCTCCCCAAGGAGCGACGCAACAACGCTCGGACACGCATGTAGAAGCGCGTCTCGGCAAGCAAACATTTGCAGTGTCATCTCATTTGCTGTGGGGGGCGTCTCGGGCGGGCTGCGAACGCCGTCCGCCGGTAGTACGGCGGCGCGGAGGCCAAACAGCACGCTGGCGACCTTTTTGGGCTGCGTCCACTCGGCAAACTGAGCCCCGAGCAGGCGGTGGCAAGTCGCATTGAGCGACACGCGGAACAACGTGCGCGTCAGCGTCAGTGCGTGACGACGAAGGCGCGCGACTTCATCGAGCTCAAACACTTCGTCGAGGGTTTGAAACACCTGCAGTTCGAGCCTCTACTATAATCGTGCATCCCATTCTCGCACGATCCCGGCGAGATCCAACCTGCAAATGGAGCTGGCCGAGCTTGGCGCGGGGGGGCGTCACGGGGGGGATCGCCGATGACGGAGCCTTCAAGTCGGCGTCCAAGAAAAACTGCTGTACATAGAGGTTCTGGCACAACGATTCGCACTGCAAAACGTCGAGCAAAACGCGATGTAGGATGCTCGCCTCCGACTCGTCCGCGGTTCTTTTGTCCTATAGTCAACGGCTCATCAGATCATTTCGTTTGTCAATCAACGCGCACGAGAGAGAGGCGACGCAGTTGTCCCATGTCGACGTCCCCCGAGGTTTCGAGTGCGGCCAAAAGCACTTCAACGTCGACCCAGCGCTTGGCGAGCGACCATTCCGTGCCCGATCCAGTGTGCACCACGTCAATGCGAAAGCGTCGACCTGTCTCGTTGTTGCCTCCGGCTTCCGTGATGGAAATGACGCGCGGAATCGTCAGACGCAACCGGCGACGGGCCGCGTTGAGCTCGTAGCATGCATTGCAGACGCGCTGGTCGCCATTCGTATCCTCATGGATGCAGTGGTTGCTGCATGCAAAGCAGCACTGTCGATGACACAGGGGGCACTCAAAGGCGGCATCGTCCTTGCTTGCGTCGTGTCGCACTTGGCGGTGGCACACGCCACACGCTTCAAGGGTCTCGACGGCGACGTCCAACTGCACTTGGGACACCCCGACGTCCTCTACCGCACTGCATAAGCGGTGTCGCGATCGCAGAGGCGTACCTGGCGCGAGTACATACGGCCGGGTGCAGCGTTCTCGCACCCACTTGCGCCGCCGGACGCAGTCGAGGGACCGCTCCGTGTCGTGGAAGCCGTCTTTCGAAAGCTTTGCGTACTGCCAGTCGCCTTCGAGCTGCCACTCGCTCGTCCAGATCCACTCGGACGACGGAAGGACGTCGACGCGCTTGCGCTTGTCGCTTGACTTGACCCAGCCTTGCAGCGGCAAGTATCGCTCCGTCTCACAAGCCACGTCGAGGACCATGCTGCCATCCATGGGCAACGTATCGGGACGGCCAAGGACACTGCCCAAGTCGCTTTCCCACGGATGTGTGCTGAGGCGGAAGAGCACTTGCAGCACCTTCTCCATGGCTTGCTTGTCGCGTAAAATTGCGTATGGCTCGTAGTACATCTCGGTGAGCGACGTCGTGAGCGTAAACGCAGTAAAGTACGCCCAGAGCTCGCCGTCTTCGAGGCAGAGCAACAGCCATTGCAACCCGCGCGCACAGCACAAATCATAGCTCGGTGTCGTTGACGGCAGCGACAGCACAGTGTCAATGCGGGACTTCCAGAACGTGATTTCCGGTCGCGGCTCCACAAGGTACGTCCAGTACGTGGCCGATGGCTGGAGACCAAAGAGGAGCACTTTTTCGAGGGCGGAGAGGAGGCTGTGCACTTCGGCGCTGCGACCGCTCGTACGCGCCTCGGACGAACTGTCGAGGAGACGCACCATGGCGTCGACGGCAGTGGTGAGTGTGGCGACGACCGCGTCCCCGGCCGATGACGCCATCGCGTCGACGATCGGCTCGTCGGCCAGCGCTTTGTTGCTATTGTTGGTCGAATGCAGGCGACGAAAGCGTGCCTTCATCTTCATCAACGACGGTAGTGGGCTCGTCTTCTTCTTCGTGGCGCTGGTCTTCGTAGACAAAGACATATTGGACCGAAGCAATGGTGGATGTGGCTCTGCCGCCCATGTTGTCAGTAACATGGACGACGACGCCTCCAACTCGGGCCAGAGCTTGGCAAGGTCCGCTTCGTCCCACGTTGTCGAGCGCTTGGTCGTTGATGCGGCGTAGTAGTACGAGTGTCCGCTGTCGCTGTCGCTGAGCGGACGCGCCGGTGGCAGCGATGCCACCAGTAGCGCATTCATATACTTGGGCTCACTGTACGCGAGTATAGGCTCCAAAATGCATTTGGCCATCATTTCGGCGAGAAAATGCGACGTGAGCGCTCCGAGGGAGAACAAGGTGCTATGGTCGCGGCGCGGGTCGGCGTCGGGTCGGCACACCGTGAGCAATTGTAGCGAGAGGTGCTTGAGGTAGCCACTGTCGTGGCAGCCGCGGTGCAGTGTCGGCGTGGGCGAGTGGCGAATGTACTCGAGCACCCGCCGGCGCCGGGCGTCAACGTTGTTTCGTTCGTCAAACTCGATCGAGTGTGCGGCCATAAGTGCGGCGTACATGTCTCGAAACGCGGCGAGGTGGAGGCGCACGAGTTCGACAGCGTCGGTGGCTAGCGCCATGGCGCTATGGTACTGAAGATGCCGCATGCAGCGCTGCGCAAACGTGCCGAGGATATCGCAGAGAACGAGCTTGACACCGGCGAGAAACGAGTCGTCGGTCGTAAGCTGCTTGTACCAACTCGCGACACTGTCGCGCACGACAATGTTGACCAGCGTCCCGAGCTCTTCCGCGATACTCGTGTCCACCGCATAGGTTGTGTGCAGGTAGGCGGCGGGGGGCAGCTTCCGCACCGCGTCAGGGCGGAATCCGGCGTCCAGCAAAGTCGGCCGTCGTTTTTCCGGTTGCTTTCCGAGGACATAAAGCAGTGGGACGCTCGAGAGATGGCAGTGGAACGTGGTGAGGAGCTCGTACGTCGACTGGAGCGATGCGAGGAGCACGAACGAGAAGATGGACACGAGCACCTCGATGCCAGCCACGAGCACCGCGGCAGGGCCAAGGACAAGCATGAGACCGAGCCCGAGACAAACACAGGCGACGTCGGTGCGCATGTTACTGCGAATATGTCGTTTGATGTGCAAGTTTCGTCTTGCTTGTCGTGAAACGCTGGTTTTCAAACGCAAATTTTGCCTTTTTTAAGCGCTGGTTTCACAACGACTTTGAAACGATCGATGGCGTCGGCACCAACATCGACCGAGCCGTGGGCGGCGACTGAGACGGGCATGGACGACGATCTCGGCCGCGGCAGTGACAGCGACAACGACGACGACGATGACGACGACGACGACGATCCGGCCAACGATGAGCAGACGATCGTGGACATTGGCAAGCACCAGCGCATGCAGCGCATTCAGAAAGTGTTGTTTGACCAACTCGTCGGGAACGACGAGCGGATTACGCTCGAGTTGCGCGAGAAGGAAGAGGAGCTTCGCCGCGCCAAGGCCAAGCGCGAAGACTTGGGCGTCGAGCTCTACGGTGTCCAGCAGCAGCTCGCACAACTCCAAATTTCGCTCGAAGGGTCGCACAACAAGCTCAATGAGCAACACGACGCGCGGTTCCGGGCCGAAGACGGGCTTGACGACGTCAAAGATGCGTTCACCAAAAAGAAGCTCGTGGTCGAGAAGAGCCAGAGTCAAATGAAGAAGGCGCAGACCGAGCTCGATGCGCTCAACGCGACGCTGCGCCAAGTTGAAGCGTACAACCAAGAAATGAAGAGCGAGATTGCACGCAACCAGCGCGCGGCGCACAAGGCCGAAGAGACCGTCTCGACGCTCGAGAAGGAGAAGAAGAAGCAAGACCTCTTTATCGACAAGCTCACGGAAGAAGTCAAGTTCTTAAAGGAGCAGACGACGCTCTTTGCGTCGCAACTCAAGACCCAAAAGCAAGAGACGATCGCGGCCGAAGACACGTTGAAAGAAGCCGCAAAGCAAATGGAAGCGACGGCGTTTGAAAAGAAACAGCTTATGCAGCAGTGGAAGAGCTCGCTCATTGGCATGAGCCAGCGCGACCAAGCGCTCATGGCCACCCAAGCCGCGATCAGCACGGTCGTCGAGCAAGATTTGGCGCTGGCGTCCGAGATCCGCGGCTACAAGTCGTCGATCGAGAAGGCGCAGACGGTGCACGAGACGCTCACGGGCACGATGGACCGGTTTGACTCGGAAAACAAGTTTGTGGAAGAGCAGCTCGGGACGCTGCAGCAGGACATGGCCAAGCTCTCTGAGCGCCACGAAATGCTGACCAAATCCAACAAGCAGACCCAAAGTCAAGTCGAGAAAGTGGTTGCCGACGGGAAGAAGCTCGACGCCGAGACTACGTCCGCGGCGCAGACGCTCGAGACGGTCCAGAAAGAACGCCACGCGCTCGAGGACGCGATCCAAGCCCAGAAAAACACTCAGACGACCATGAACAAGGCCGCCAACAACCTCGTGAAGGAAGCGCAGAAGATCCAGACGCTGATCCACGAAAAAGAGATTTTGTATGCCAACATCAAGAACGAAATGGCGCGCGTCAACGTCGACATTCTCAACGTCCAAGCGCACAGCGCGCAGCTGAAAGAAGAGCAGGAGAAGAACGTGACCGAGCTCAAGGCCAAAGACCTTGCGGTCGAGAAGACAGAGCTCGAGATCCGCCAGCGCAACGACGAGATCGAGAAAAAGGTATGCGACAGGATTGTAGAACATGTCGTCTGAGTTCAAACGGTTTAGATGCTCCGTTTAGACCGACTGAACAAAAAATACGAGCAACTCGTGTCCAATATGGAAGATGAGAACACGGGCCCGCTCGAGGCGACGATCAAGAACATCAAGAAGGAGACGGCGCAGCGCAAGAAAGAAAACGTCGAGCTCCAGCGCGATTGGCTGCAGATTCAAACGTCCTTGGTATGAACAACATGTCTGTAGCGATGCGGCATTAGTGTCATTAGGTCAACTTGACGGCTGAGAGCGAAGACATTCGCGAGAAGAACCAAGAGCTCAAGAGCAAAACGAGCATCCTCGAGCAAAAGCAACTGCGGCTCGTGGGCGAATGCAGTCATTTGCAGTCGGAAGTCAAGGAGCTCCGCGCCGGCATTACGAGCATGCACATTGATACCGTCAAGCTCAACGAGCTCATTGCCAAGAACAAGGACAAGCAGGAGCTGCTCCAGAACGTCAATTTCAGCCTTGAGATTGAGTTTAAGCGCGAACTCAAAGAGCTGGAGGCCGAGTCGATCGCGATGGAAGCCCAGGCACAGACCATCAAATCCGAGAAGCAAGTGCTACTCGACCAGATCATCGAAGTCGAGCGCCAGATCATGCTCTGGGAGAAGAAGATCCAGATCGAGAAGGAGACCCAGGCCGCGCTCGACCCCGAGGTCGGTCAAGCCGAGGCACGCAACATGGAAAAGGAGATTCACCGCATGCGTCTCCGCCTTGAAGCCCTCGAGCGCGACCAAGAGCGCATGGTGCTCGATATGGAGCGAGCGATCCACAAGGTATAGTTGTACTCAATCAATGTGTTTCTAACGCGATACTGTAGCGCGACGCGATCGCGATGCGCGGACGCGGCAAGAAGGACTCGGACGTGACCCAAGCGTCGCTCTTGACCAAGGTCGCAACACTGCAAAACAAGTGCCGCAAAGCCACAAAAGAAACGAGCGCGTTGGAGCGCGCGATCAAGCAGCGCTCGATCCAGAGCGAAGACGTCACGTTCCAGATGGACAAGATCAGCCGCGACCTCAAGCAGCAAGAAGAGCGAGCGGCGACGCTCCAGCGCTCGATCAACCAAGCGCTGTACGACAAGCAGCGCTTCATCGACAACGAAGGCCGCAAACAGCGCCTCCTGAAGCGCTGGGAACACATTGCCCAAGGCAAGGGCTTCGACCCGGCGAACGAGGCCAAGAGCATTGCCGAGCGTGAAAAGGCGACCGAGGACACGCGCAAGATCCGAGAGCTCATCCAAGCACTCCAAGACCAGAACCCGCACCTCAAAGAAGTACTTACACGCGTCGCCATGTTGGCCGAGCCTGTCTAACAACCTCTACTACCGACATACTCTATGATGGAATATGCGGCGCTTTGCGCAGATACCGCAAAACATCCAATACATTGTAATGCTGTGGACTAGGAAAACAGAGCGTGACGCACCTTGGCACAATACGATTTAAATCTTGTGCTGCGTCCAGGCACTGCGACAAAGTTTAATGTTTTCCATCCATTTAGACGTGATGCGTTGACCGCAGGCTTGATAGCCATTTTGCGTGTAGCCTTATCGCCTCTAACCTGACACGCCACTTACAATGACTAGCGGTCAGTCGAGTGCCCCACTTGGGCGCTGGACAAGGTGAGATGGTACGTCACGACGTACATCATGTGTTTTTACATCTATCCCGATAGCTATCCCGATGCGCAAGGGTCCCCTCCAAAAGTTGCCATCACTGTGCAGCAACAGTCAGACAGAATTCTCAGGACATAAAACCTGGGTTTTGTGCCCTTAGCCTATCTATTTCGGTGGTTTTGCCCGAGAGCCAATCACTTGAGTTTTCAAAACATGTACCCGACGCTGTGCAAGCCGCAGACGCTCGACATTGAGCGCCGTCGTGTCGTGCTCAGCGAGCGCGAGTACAAGAGCGTGCGCTACCACGAGCCAATGGCGGGCAAGTCCAAGCACGGCATGGGTACGCACACCATAGGGGTTCATGGCGGCTGACACGCGGCTCTCGTAGCGTTCTACCTCGTTGCCATTGGCCGCAGTAAGATCTACTTGTTTGACCTGCAAAAAACCACCTCGCGCCCGATCGTTCTGCCCATGAACGCCATCACGTCGCTTGCCAAGGTCATTCCAACCAAGTTTGGGTCCGAGCGGCAAATTCTGCTCTGCGACGACAGCGAGTTGTATGCGCTTACGCTCCGCGACGACGTTGGCAAGGCTCCGTCCAGTACAGCACTGTCTTGTCGGATCAAGTAGGATACGTTTGTCGGTGGTGTAGCCTACTACTTGGCATCGTTCGAAGCAGCGTCCAAGGCCTTTGTCTACCTCGATCAAAGCTGGGCGGCGTACCTCGAGGTAAACATTTGTACTTGCAATGGAGTAGATCGACAATGAACTAGCGGTGCGTGCTCTCGCCCAAGAAGCTGACGACGTCGTCGTCTCAAACCACGCTACTCTTTCACGCGATTGTGGCCGAGTTTGCCGACACGAGCGATATCATCCTTCGGCAGAGGCTCTTGCTGGAGCTCAGTCAGTCAGCCGTGGACGCCGTGCTACTGAAGCGCCTCTTCTTCAATGTACCTCGCTTCTCAACTCGCTTGGCGTCAGAGTCGATGGTAGGAAGACACCATGTTTCGTTCCGGTGACGCATTATGTCATGGTTTGCCGTCGCTCCTGTTGCATCTTTTGAGGCAGCTCAACGACCGCAGCGCAAGCGATCTCCCCCGCGTTGCCCAGCTCGAGTAGTACCTCAGCTATTCGTTCGTAGGTCGAACAATCTATTGGGTGGAATAGGTTTGTCCTCGCCTTGCTCGGCTGCTATCACGCCATGGTGTTCGACAGCCACACACTGGTGGAACGCCAGACATTTCTCAAACGCTGGTGACGCACTCCTCCTTTTTGTCACTGACTGCATTTCGAATATAGTGGTCACTCGTTTTGTGACGTGGCGGCTGTCTTTGCGCTCAACTATACCAAAGGCGAAGCTGACACAGCGTTGTCCGAGCACGACAAGACAATAGCACGGACGCTGCGAATGCGCATCATCGAGACGCAAGCCGCGATCTTGTTGCAGCTCTACGCCTTTCACCACGAAGTACTATCTATCTTATTGTCTATCGTCACAACCAACAAGAGTTAGCTGATCGAGTGCTTTCCCGATACCTCGCTGGCGCCGACGACAGTGCATTTTTTCGATTTGATGGTCGCGGCACCGACGTACCACAAGTGGTTTCAGCGAGCGATGACGCGGGCGGGTCTCCTCTATGCCGCGACGGAGAATGATAAGACGCTCGACGCCCTGCGACTTTATTGGCTCGTCTCAGTCATCTACCTCACGTTGGCAAGCAACTACCGCGTTCGAGCATGGATCTGCGACGACTGCTTCGACACCTACACGTACGCTCTCTCGATACATTGATACTCTGAAACGTTTCGGTAGGCTCTTGTGGTGCAGCCCGGGGTCGCTCGCACGCTGGACAAAGAACGAGACCAACGTCTTTGCAACGCGTGCGGCCACCCACATTCAACACATTTTACGGGCTTGTGCAGAGTCGTGAGTTAGGACGAGAGCGCTGCTTTCATATTTGATGCCGTCAAAACTTGTAGCGCAGTTACCTTATTCGTCAAGGTTTGATGGCCAACTTGATGGCCAACTTGAACCCCACTATTGTTACTCGTTGACGATGGGAGGATCACCAACAGGAGAGT